ATGCCCTTGACCGGAATCGAACCTGGGACCTTTCAGTCCACAGGCCGACGCTCTATCCACTGAGCCAAACCGGTTTCGGCCTTTTAGTTGTATTTTTGAAGTGGTTGTTCGAGGCAGCAAACTCCGGTGTTTACCTATGCCACCATCTTGGTTTCCCCTCTGTCTTTTTTCTTGATAGTAAAATAGCCATTCACTTAAAAGAGAAGATAAGGGGCAGTATCTCCTTAAATCTATGTTGTTTATGTCAGTATACTTAGTGTCATTCACATTGAAAATTATATTTGTGTATATTAAGTGTTTCTACCTTGGGATATCTTGGAGACTAATAATAATCAAAATTAATAATAATATAAAATTATTTCAGAATAAGACTTGGTCTATATGTAGTACTCTGGATACCTAATTAAGAGTGGTTTCATTAAGAATCATACCAAATATTCTCTGCCCTTAGGAACCCAATGCTTCGAGAAATAAGAAAAGCTCTCGCCGAGTCAGCTTTGCAGATACTATAAAGTAAGTTGAAAGGAGAAATACTTTTAAATGATAGTAGTGCTTTGCTGTGTGTCAAACTAAGTATGTTACTGCTGCCTTAGATAACCTGTGTTTCTATTAGATAAGCATTAGAGAATTGTTATTTAAGAGGTTGTTATTTAGCATTATGCTTAAAAGAAAAACATTGAGCTCTAGAGCGTCAGCCTGCAGACTGAAGGGTCCGGGGTTTGATTCTGGTCAAGGGCACATGCCAGGGTTGCAGGCTCGGTCCCCAGTGTGGAGTATGCAGGAGGCAGCCGATCCATGATTCTCTCTCATCATTGATGTTTCTATCTCTCTTTCACTCTCTCTCTCGTTCCCTTCCTCTCTGAAATCAGTAAAAATATACTTAAAAGGAAAACATTGAAAGTGTTTCCTCTAAAGTTAGGAATAAAACTACTAAGTTTTACTACTGAGAGAGATGGTGCAAAGGTCTGGGTTACACACACAACTCTAAAGGAAGTGGAGGTATAAAAAAAGGTTATGGGAAGTTTAAAAAAAAAGACTTCCAATTTACTCCTCCTTTTTTTTTCTTCTATTTTATGATTAAAAGTTATAACATAGAGAAAATAGTATCATGAAAACTCAAGTATTCATTTTCAGCTACAGTCTCAACGATGGCCACTCTTGTTTCACTACACCCCCACTTAGTTCCTTTTCCTGTCCTACTGAATTATTTTCATGTGAATCCCAGATGTATTTCATTAGTTATGCCTTTAAAAGACAAAATATTTTTAAAGAACCTATTAACCCTTTGTGGTCGTATTAAATTTGGATATGGGTGTCGGACTGGTAGGAATTAATTTCCATTGAAAGAGCAGTGATACATAACATGCAAGATTATGAAGGATAAACAAGATTTATTAATTCTGTTTTGAACATTAGATGTATGTTTAGACAATAATGTGTTTCAATAACATGTTTTTATATAAAAATTATATTTTATATTTCTCCATTGTGTGGTATCTTTGAAAGCAGTCTCCAATATGCAGTCCTGGTTTTCGACTACATGTATTGCAAAAATAATTAGTTTGGCGTCTTCCGCCCCTAATCTCTCTGTTTGAACATACAGAGC